AAAGATAGCTTTCTTTGGTACAGAAGCCGTCTTTTCTAGATGTGGTCTATCCTTACTGTGACAATTGATAAAGTAGGTTTTCTGGATAAGCATTAGCTATTAAAACTGAATGCATATGTCGAAGCTCATCCATCATGCGAATTTTTCAGGTCGTTGAAAACAAACGTTTCACTAGGGAAGACGTTCAGCGAAGAGACCTTTTTCGGTGAATTCCCTCACATAGATGTACAATCGCATTTATATATAATTATTTTTGTGTGTTTATATGAGGTTTGTCAAGTTTAGATAATTAATTAAGTAATGCAAGAATGATCTAATATAGAAACAAGGTTAATTATTCAGTAACTAAAGGAAGATTGAGTTAGTAATTTAGATGACTAGGGGACATTTATACTGGGTAGGAAGAAAACTGGTAAAATGAAGGAATTGTTCACTCCATGTCTGCTTACGAAAAATATGATTGGTCATTAGTATGTACTTGTGTTTTATATAACTGAGTAATTGCAATGCATTTTATTTCATTATTATTATTGTGAACCATGTTAGTTGTAAAGCGGTTGTAAAGAAACTACGAAATGACGATATCATCTCGCGAAATTTGTCTTCTAAATGCCTTATTCAAATTTATCAAAGGGACTAATTGTTTTAATGTGTCAGTTGTTAGATAATCGTATTGTCCAAAAAGGGGAGGCGTTATTTAAAATCAAATAGAATCAGTCGATAGACTAGATGTCGATCGGTTTGAAACTGGTAACTATTTCAAGATTCACTTCAAGGCTTTAAAAGTTTAGCGTTCATCTTAGATTTCTGCGCCTATACTCATGAAAACCTTTACACGATAAAATGCCATATTCTTTGCGGCGTGTTGTTTTCGACATTTCAGTAACTTGAATATTCCCATAAATTTATTCAGAACAAGAACAGTTAAAGCCTATAGTTTGGTTTGTAAGGGTTAGTTTTGTTTTTACGAGTTGATCATGGATTGATATCAGTTAGAGAACTATTGAAAACCAGCCACAGGGAGTACTGGACAGCTGTTTCATCCCAGTGGATGAATGCTATACGAGTTTGCCTTGTAACCGGAAGGTCCTGGGTTCGAACCCTTGTGGTGGGTGCGTACTGCCGATGATTCCCAAACTAGGATGAAACTGCAGCTGTCCAGTACTCCCTGTGGCTGGCTTTCACTGGTTCTCTAACTGATATCAATCCGTGATCAACTCGTAAAAACAGTTAAAGCCAACAATTTTGATTTCAATAAATTCTTCTTCAGACTCCACAATTACTAATCCATTAATTGAAGCTTACGGTCATGGCCAGTAAAGGCAAATTAGAATCACATCAGAAAGTGTATTGTGGAACAAGTATAAGTAAGATGGGATTGAACAATAGTCAGTTACTTTTTGAATATGCATGGTCAATGAGAACATGGAATAAAATGATTCAAATGAACTGTCGTCAAGATTTGACAGAATAGTTCTAAAATATTTGGGCGCCGAGTGAGAAGTAGACATTTGTCAAAAATTATAATTGTAAAATCTCAGCGAGATTGAAATGAGTAATTCCAACGTTTCTTTTGGCAGTCTGGTCCGAACTTCTTCAGGGAAATTAATCGAAATTAACATAACAGAGGTTTATATGGAAATGGAACATCTCTCGTTTTTAGAAACTTTGTCCAATCATGAGTCATTCAACAAGTATAATAAACAAAGTTTTATGAGCTGTGATCAAAATTTGACCTCGGACTTACAAATATTGGTCTACCTTTGTTAAACACTTTAAACAGAGTGTGTATGTGTGTGGGTAAACAGTTGTAAAACATTTCTTAACGTTTCCATAAGAAGATATGGACAGTCGAGAATTTTGACCAAGTATTAATAATGAGTGATACATATCCATTTTTATTTATTAATAAGGATTTCCTATGCATCAGCTAACATCACGCCTTCATGTCCGTTCAAACTGTTAGCATCTAGAATTTTATGATTAGACGTATTTTCAAAATTATGGTGTTTAGGATTAGAGTTTAGTAGAAGCACCCTGTCGAACTTATTGCTTTGCCTTCTTTCTGAAGATTGAGCTGCTTTATTCCACCTACTGGAGTTGTCAGGTGACTCGACAGCTACGGATTTAGGATATGCATTCTGTTGCATACAACGGAGAGTGAAATGAGATGAAATAATTCAGTGATGTGTGTGTGTGTGTATGTATATAGTCGAAAAAAGTACAGTATTCGAGGGTGAGTGTAATCTATGGTGTGAGAGGCAATATGAATACTGCAGAAAAATAAACCAACAAATGAGGTAGACTAGACGTAAGTTCAAGGGTGACTAATAACAGTAATAATAATGATGGTGAAATAATAACGGTGATGTGGTGATGTGTAGACTTAAACGTACTATTAGTGAACGATTATCAAATATCAAATTATAATAATGAATTTAGTGAAGTGTAATGAACTGGATTGTGTGAATATGATAACAAGTTAGAAAACCATTACGTAAACCTGAGGTAATGGACATAATAAGAATGAAGGTCATGAAGTCGTAAGAGGTCAGAAATGAACGTTTGTCAATGAAACAAAGCGAAAAAGAAGAAAGATTGCGGTAGGAATTTAAAGTGCTAATGTTCATGGAGGATTTGTTGACCTTATAGTAGGCCAAGGTAAACGCAGCTATTGATTATCATTCACCAGCGGGTCCCAGATTCAATTTGAGCCACATACGGAGGTGTAAACTACATGGTTGGGGTGCTTGGGATGTAAGGAATCAATGACTTCAGACTGTTGGTGATATGGCTTAGAAATCGTTCTCAATAGTGGCGATTTATTCACTTGTGATAATCTCCAAGATTCACTAGATCCTCATGGTTTTCTGTGTTAGCATTCCTTCTCCAGCAAATTTCTGCTCAATTGAGTTCTTTTTGAATGTCTTTTTTCTGTAACTTTATGTTCTATATGGGATGTGGCAACTTAGACGGCAGCGTTTTTGTACAGTGTTCGGCGTTGAAACTTGGTCAATCTGACTCTTGAGTCTCTCTGCTCCTGATTAATCACTCCTCACACAGTATATTCGTTTCATAGTCACTAATACATAGAAATTGTGTTCTGGTTAAGTCAATTTTAACATCTAATGCCATGAAAGAATTTGATTGTCACGTTTTGGAGTAGCTTGATGGTGTTGTTAATTTCCAAACAATAAATGTAACTGAATTAACAAGTGTAATAATCATTTACTTGGGGTTTAATTCATTACAGGATTGATCTCCAGCTGAAACATAAGTTAGAGAACCATTGGAAAACCCCAGGAGTACTGTAAGGTCCTGAGTTCGAACCTCTGTGGTGGGTGCGCACTGCTAAGGAGCCTCAAAGTAGGATGGGTCAACTTTCAATTACTCCCTGATATCCGGCTATCGACCGAAGTACGTACGTGTAATGCTCAGCAGTCCGCTCCGTCCTCCTTTATGGCTGTAAGACCTGGCCATTGAAAGTGGAAGACATGGCATCAGTCAATGAAATCCACAACAGTTAGTTTAAGTCACGTAGGAAGGTGTAGACTTCCTGATTGGGGTCCTCGGGACGGTAAAGACCAATGGCTGGAGACAGTTGGTGATATTGCTCAAATGATCGTTCTCAATAGCTGGCGCAGATGCATCCACTCCTTGTGACTTATAATATCCAATAAAACTATACGGTTCTTCGATATTACTATTCTTTTTGCCTCATATCTCTGTTTACTGTCCTTTATTTTGCGTTTCTTTTTACTTTCTCCTCTTGCTTTGTGTGCTAAGTGAAGCGTGGGAACTCGAACTGCTGCACATGGGTGCAATGTAGTTCTATGTTGAAACCAGTCAGTCAGTCAGTCAGCCCATTACTCCCTCGTTGGTTTTCAATGGTTCTTTAACTGAATGATGGCAACTCGTGATCAATCCTGTAACCATTCAAATCTCAATAGACCAATACTTGGTAATTAATCTGATTCCCTCTAACGACTAGTCGTTATCTGGGGTTTTAGTGAGAGGTCATAGCCAGCGGCGGGGGCCACTGAGTCAGGCAAGAGGATAATTACTCGCCTGTGTCAATGGCTGGCGGTTGCGTTAAATATATATGTCACGAATTGGCAAAAGTAGGAATTCACGGACTAGTGTATCTTATCCCAGTAGTTCAATGGTCTGTGGGCTCGCCTTGTTACTAGAAGGTCCTGGGTTCGAACCCTGCCTGTGGATGCGTACTGATGAAGAGTAACAAACTAGGACTTAGCAGCTGTCCAGCACACCCTGTCTGGTTTTCGCTAGTTTTCTAACTATTTGAACAAAGCAAGAACTACAGTTTTAGCAGAATAAAATGGTACCATCTTTTATTTCGTTGCCTTCTCGTCAGCTGCTTACAGGGCAAACACATTATTAAATGTATCTACAAAAACAATTTTAGCATACTTGCACAGAGTTCATTTTAAACAAAAATCAATCGATCAATATACGCATACACTAATAATATATACATATATATATGCAATATTAAACACAATTCCCAACAATAATAATCATACACAATGAAAACTTTTCAGCATTTCGTATTTGAATGGAAAATATCCAGCTACCAGGGCAAAGAAAGATTGATAACCGCTTCTTTCTGAACGCATAAATCAGGTTTCAGGCGCTTGATGGAAATGGCTTCAGCAAACTTGAGAAGAATTGAGCTCTTTTGCTTATTGATAATTTTGAACGACTTTTCGACGTCCACCACATGACCCGTGTCAAGGAGATGCCTGGTGATGGCACTGTTTAAAGCATTTGTTCCCTTTAGACGTAAGCTTTTTGGTACATGTTCAGAAAATCGTAGATATGTCCTTCTTTCTTTCTAACTATTGTCAACTCAGGATCAAACCTGTAACCGCTCACATTCCTGTAAACCAAAACTTGATGTTTAGTTCACTTGAGGAATATATATATATACGTACATATTATTTTTCTAATCCTAATTGCTTCTTTTTTTCTTTATTTAGCCATTTATATCATTGACTTATGAGTATAAACTTCCATTGGCCAACAGTAATCAATCAGATAAGCATAGTTCTCCAGCATTGGGCATAAACTTTAAATGGTCCAATGATATCCCCTACATATCGTCCACCGCCTCCTCCTCATCCTCCCCGTCAGCAAAATCTCCAAATGTACAATATTCTCCTGTACCTGGATTATATATTGATAGTCTTTTACCTGAGAGTATAATTACTTCGGGCAATCGAATCACTGTACAACCGGGTGATCGTCTTGTCGGTATCAATGGTGAAAGTGTAGACGGAATGAATGCTAAAGTAGGTTGAGATAAAAAAAGTTTCTGGTCAACAGTTTTTATTTTCTGTATATATTTTTTTGTTTATATTCACAAAAATATGTGTATAGAACTGGTGATAACTACTGACAATAAAATTTTGACCAGGGGCCAGGCCTCCATGTCACTGATATCTGGCTTTCTACGAAGTAAGTGATACGACTCAGCCGCTGGGCACGTCTGTGTATTATTTTAGTTATGGGGTATTTTGTCTAACCGGTTTTAGCTCTGTCAAAACGCGAATATTCGTTTTTATTGTTGGTGGTCATCCTCTAGAACTTTCTTACTAATGAATGTATACATGTACTGCTTAATGCTGATCAAATTGCAACTCTACGCATCGTCATCACAGAACAAAGCATAGAATGGCAGTCAAACCTCACTCTACCTCAACCTCATCGACTTCGAAAAGGCCTTCGACAGACAGCGTTGACCGAGAAGTAATTTGGAAACTACTTCAACACTACGGCGTACCTCAAGTCTTTGTCAACCTCATTCAACAGCTGTCTGTATGACAACACCACGTGTCAAGTGATCCACAACGGAAAACTCAGCGAGGCGTTCGAAGTGAATACAGGAGTAAGACAATTGCTGCCTGCCTATTATTACCAATGATATTCTTAATTGTGATGGACTGGATTATGCATCACACTGTGGGGAGCGAGGAGACAGCAATACGCTGGACCACCGATAAGAAGACTCTAGAACATCTGGATTTCGCTTGTGGATGATATATTGTCTAATGTCACACAAACTCGAAGACTTGAGGGCGAAAACCAACAAACTGGCTGAAGAGGCAGCGAAGACAGGACTCCAAGTGAACATACAGAAGACGGAGTTGATGAAGATAACCAACCAGCCGAACAGCAGCAACAACAGCAACCAGCACTAATCACTATCAACGGGAGAGATTTAACAGAGGTTGCCTCCTTCACTTATCTAGGAAGCATCGTTTCAAATATAGGCACTCGGAACGGATAAAGACGTCAAAGTCAGAATCGGAGAGGCAAGATACGCCTTCATCAACCTGAAACCAATTTGAAAATCTTCTGCACTCAACATAAGGAACAAGATTCGGATTTGCAACACCAATGTTCAGTCAGCCAGTTCTTCTTCTTCTAAATGGGTCAGGAACTTGCACTGCGCCGCTTCACAAAAGCATTTCGAACAGGTTGCAGACTTTTATCAACAGCTGCCTTCGCTGGCTCCATACTGAAGATCAAATGGCCAGTCGACGAGAAAGAATTAGTAACAAGAAATTCTGGCTGGGAACAAACCAAGCAAGAGCTGACCGCTCAAGAAATATGTAGGAGAAAATGGAGATGGATCGGGTATACATTGAGGAAACCGTCGAATTACGTCGCGCTCAGTGCAGTCTATCACTCGAGTGGAATCCAAATGGGAAGCGACAAGTGGGTCGTTGGTGCGAGGGTGACATGGAGGAGATCGTGTGGCGAGGAAGAGATGAGAGATTATGGGCAGTCGTGGACCCAGCTGAAGAGGAGAGCGAGAAGTAGGAAAAAGTGTAGATGTGTTGTTGAAGCCCTATGTTCCACTCGGAATCCAAGGGAATAGTAATGCAGAGAATAATGAAGGGATGTAATGGAGGAATTGTGATTCATAAGACTATATACTACTGATTGGTTGAGATGAGTAGTTGCATGCCACTCATATCAGGCCAGTAGTGCTTGCCAGTCAGATCGAGGTGATGTAAACACCGGACGGCTGTTTCGGTCGTTTGAGGCCGAGCTGATCAACTGTGTACCTGGTTCGACTTAGGTTAGACAGCCGAATCACCCCATTTCTGGCTAGCGGGTTGGTCGAATTGGTCATACGTAGCTAGGAAGCACTACTGGTTGACGTGAGTGACGTAAAACTACTCATCTGAATCAATCAGTAGTATATGATACTATGCAAATTTGCTTTCTTTCGTGATTACCGCTTATGATATCAAGCACATCACATATTGCCATTCAATTTGTAATTTGCATATTGTAAATTTCATATATGAAATGTGGTTCATTTAGTCTCTTTTTTTTTAAATTTTAAACTGTCAAGCTATTTAATCTATAATGCAACATAAAGTAAACTCGAAGTTGTATTTTGAATTGCATTCAACCGGGCGCACAACTGCTCAAAAGCTTTCGTTTCCTCTTCACATGTTCTCCTCCTCCATGTCACCCTTTCCATTTAAAGATTTGTGGAATCATTTTCCATTCTCATCTGCTTTCAACTGATTTGTAACACTTCTGTGCCATATCTTCTCATTTATTATCCCATCTGAGTAGCCTTGTCATTCTGGGGCGACTTTTAACGGGAGTCATACATCAAGAATGAAACTGACCAATGTGATCAGACTTATTATTATTAGTTATTGTTATTACTTTGGGTTCCGAGTTGAACATCGAATTTATCAGCATCTGTTCATTTCACCCTGTTCTCCGGAGTCACTTTTTAGCTGGCTGAACGATTGCCCATAAGCTCTTATCTCCTCCTCACACGACGTATTCCATGTTACCCTTGGAACTCTATAGCCAACTCGTCGTTTCCCATTCGGGTTCTACCTAGAGGGCGTGGCTCGAGATGGAATGACAACTCTTGACGTCCATTTCTTCGGAATACATTTTCGATCAATGTTTAGTGTTGATGTTGATTTCGGTGATGAAGTTCTTTGGATAGTTATTTTGTTGTTGTTATTGTTGTTGAGAATTTCAGTAATAATCGATATTTCGTCTTCTACTTTTTCCTTCTTATCCGTTACGAAAGTATGCTCGTCTAAAAAGACTTGAAACAAATTGATATCTTTGCATTGATGGGGTGTGATGATCAGAAGCTAAAAACAGTATCAGTAGAAGCAGTATTATTTTGTTTTTCATTCATTAGGAGGTACAAGAACTTTTATAATAATGAACATCGTATACCTAATTCTCACATTTTTTTCATACTGTTAAAAGCGGAGTTGCTTATGCTCATTCTTCAGTGCTTCTGAAGTCTCAATGAGGTATCCAAACAGATTAACCTAGTGATATCAGTTAGAGAACTATTGAAAGAAACCGGGGTTACTGGACAGATGTTTCGTCCCAGTCTGTGACCCATCGTCAGTACTGACCCACAACTGGGGTCAACACCAAGGACCTTCCCTGGAATTCCGGGTGGAACATTAGGCTTCAACAACACATCTCCACTTTGTCCTATTTGCTGCCGTCCTCTTCATCTGAGTCCACGATTGGCCATAATCTCTCTCATCTCCTCTTCGCAAGATCTCCTTCATGTCACCCTCGCACCGACGATCCACTCGTCCCTTCCCACTTGGATTCCACTGGAGTGATGGCCCGCACTTCGCGCGATGCCCCTCGACAGTCTCCTCAACGTTGAGCGATCGGCTCTTGCCTGTTGGTTTGTTCCGTTGCAGAGTTTCTTGCTGATAATTCTTTCTGGTCAGCTAGCTATTTGATCTTCAGGAGGCGTTTGTTGAGATGGAATGATCAGTGTTAACCAGGTGTTCACTTATCACACTCCTTATAGCACCACTACTGCCTTTTCACAACCATGCTGGATAGTGTTCTTGAATCCTCTTGGACAGGGTGTGCGTCGAACGACCGATGTACCTGGTGAACTGATATATGCACATAGAAGTGGTCAGATGTGGGATCTTGTCCTTGAGGCTTCTGCAGATCAGTGGGCGACTGGAGAACACTATTCTTAGCGTTACTGCAAAGAATGTTCTTCTCAGAGATGATGTGATCCTTCTCTTGAGAATATCGCTTGCTAAATCTCCCTTAACAAATCCAAGTTCATGTATAGTTTCTTTTTTGGCGCAATTAAAGTTTCGTTTCTCCGAATTCTTGGTTTGATATTTTTGTCAATGAATCTTATTGGGTATCCATTTTGGATGTCTCTCATGTGTTCATGTCTCCTATGTTTCGGCCCAATACTGGTTCGTCGTTTGCTCTCTTTGACGTCAAATCTATGTCTCCTCTAATTGATATTTTTGTGTTGGTAAATGTGTCAGTACCACACGCCACAGTTTGAATCACTGCTTACCATCAATTTTGTTTCTTTCCCTGTCGTATTTTTCCTCTTTAGAATATTGTTATTCGTCTTAAAAAGATTTTAAACCAATGCCATGAACAAAGTGCTCATAGTTCTGGACAATCGTCATCTACATTTAGTCTCACTGTTCATCGATACAAACAGGACGATAGCCATCGGTCAGGTAAAGCAGAGACGTTGAGACCTACAACACTTCCTCCAAGGTAAAAATCATTTAATATGAATATGTGAAGAAAATTTGGGCTTTCTGTAAAGTTTCATAAATTTTCCCCTTATTTATTTTAATGGCTATGGGAAATTGAAAGATTAATTTATGCATTAAAGTCCTTATGGTGTTGATTGAAGGTCCGACATCAATTACTAAGTGTTATAATAATAATAATAATATATTCTCATTTTGTACATGAGGGACTCCAGTTTACAGGCATCATCAATATGATAAATTACATATACGATTAGTAAGCATGTTTAATAATAATAATTTAATAAAATACATTTTTTCCTACCTGTGTAGGACACACCAGTTGTACAGGCATGGATAAGTATTATTTAAATTACATAAATTTGGTTTATGGTTGCAGTCGTTTTTGTCTTTGATTTGTGGAAACAATATGATAACTAGTCATTCAATGGAGCACATCAAGAAATATAGAAATATTGTCTTCGCATTAACAGAAAAAAAAACCAAAGTATGTTTTGGATGGATTACAAATACTTGGGAAAAAAATAAAGCTTGAAGTCATTCCCCCATATAACTTTGGTGTGTACGGCATCGAGTCTTATTCTTGATTTATATCCAAATTTGGTAATAATTTAAAATAAGTGATACACTTGTATAGTCTTGTCAGCATTTTCATCGTAACATCACAAGTGAATTGTACTCAACGTTGACTAATAATAATGATAGTTTATATTTTCTTATAAACGGGTGTTTTCAAGAAATGCAAGAGTCATGAAGTATTATAAATTAATACTTTTTCATTGGTATAAAGGTATATTCCACAACTGTAATCTAAGTTGCGTCGTTGGTGAAGGTAATGCGTAATTCACGCATGTCAATTGATGATATAATAATTCTGCTGATTTGTTGTGGGTTTGATTATTGTTATAAAATCATAAACTTGGTACACTATAGGCACCAAGTGAATGCTGCTCCACACAAAATTTCATAATTTGTGCAAAGTTTTGGGTTACTGTCTGAACTCCTAGGCCGAGGCAGGTGTTTGTCTTAAGAGACCGACCCCGCCCCCCTCACCGAGCGTAAGTCAGTGGAGCAGTATCAGGAGCTACATTCCTGTTGTTTTGTCGTGGCCGAAACAGGTTCATACGACATTCCACCGCATCGGACCCCCCTTGAGGTCATGTACATCCTAGGTTCGGAATCAAGGTTTTCCAGCTCCTCTGGGTAGACAAGCGTGCCTTACCAGTCCCCTTATAAGTGCTAGACGTTCTCATTCGCCCTTATACATTCGTGGGGAACACCCTTGCCGCATGAAGGTGGTAAATATCACTTACGTGGCAGAGGCTGTGAACACGTGGCCTTATGAGATCATTTCGAGATAAAGACAGAAGTCTATTCACCCTTGGCTGTACCAGGTTTTGTATGGAGTTAGATACTGAAAAGCAATAGGCAACCAACAAAGACCAGGTTACTGGTTAGTAATCAGTTCACCTCGACCCAACCACCTCAGCTAACGCAAAATGAAGACAAAAGACATACTAGTCCATGCCGGTGAGAACACTACATTATATACCCATATTATTTACCTCAGAAATTTGAGCCAATGAATGAACAACTATATTACTTGTATATGCTTAGGGTTTTAGGTTGTTCAAACATATTGGATATATATATATATACTCTGCCTGGGAGCAATGGTTTAACTTATCCAAACTGTCTTAAGCTAATCTCTGAGCCTCTTTAATCTGGCTTTTTAGCCCCTTTCACTAAGATGGTAACCTGCAATTATTAAAATCCAAATTTAAATCCACTTAACTTATCTTACTATTATTGTTTAGACACGACGCCAGAACCGTTTCGTATCTCTTAAAGTATAATACATATTGACCTGTCGTTGTTACATTATTTTAAGATCATAATGAAAACTCAACTATGATGCTATAAACCGCCTAATTCAAATCCAACTCTGTTGACTTCTGTTTAAGAAGTCAGTTTATATTTTAAGCCTTTGCATATACCAGAAGCAGAAGAAGCATCAAAGATAGGCCTTCAGGTGAACATAGAGAAAAGTGAGGTGATGAAGATTCCTGGCCAACAGCAACAGCAACAACAACAGACAACAATCAGCATAAATGGCAGAAATCTGAAAGAAGCAACCTCCTTTAACTACCTGGGAAGCATCGTTTCAACTACATGCGGAACTGACGAGGATATCAAAGCGAGAAACATCGGAAATGCGAGGCAAGCTTTCATTATTCTCAAGTCTGTGTGGAGATCAACAGTACTCAGCATGAAAAATAAGATCCGGATTTTCAACTCCAATGTGAAGTCAGTGCTACTTCAATACGTACGGATCAGAGTTTTGGCGCGTTACGAAGGGCACTTTGAACAAACTACAGACCTCCATCAATAGCCGTCTTCGCTCAATACTCAAGATCAGATGGCCAGCCGGAAAAGATCAATAACAGGGATCTCTGGCAATGAGCGAACCAACCCAGTAGGAACCAATTGTGCAAGAAATATGCAAGAAGAAATGGAGGTGGATTGGCCATACTCTGAGAAAACAAACCATCAAGCGAGTGACATCACATGACAGGCCATTGCTCGAGTGGGACCCGAACGGGAAGCGGCGAGTTGGTCGTCAGTACGAGGGTGGGGTGACATGGAGGAGGTGATGTGAAGAGGAGATAAAAGTATGTGGGCAGACGTGGAGTCAGGTGAAAACGTTGGCGGAGAACCGAACTCAATGGAGACGTGTGGCTGAAGCCCTAAGTTCCTCTAGGGATTAAACGAATTAATAATAATAATGATAATATACCGCACTCAATTTATTGTTTTCAATGAATAGTCATCATTGCTGTATACTACTGATTGATTGATATCAGTAGTAGTTGATCACCAGTCACATCAACCAGTAATGCTTGCTAAGCAGATCAAAGTGATCTTAACATTGTCTCCGGCCGTTTTGTTCGTTTGTTGCTCAGATTATTAACAACGTACCGACTTTTACCCGACTCAGACAGCTGAATCAGTACAAAAGCACGCCTAATATAAGTATAATGAAAGATAGAGTTGTGTTATTTTAACATACTCTTGTAATGATTTGTGATTGAGGACTTTGTACTCAAATTTGTGATACATTGGGATAATATTTATCGAACCCCGGCAGGTGCGTGCTGATGATGAGTCCCAAACTAGGACGAAGCAGCTGTCCAGTACTCCCAGATTTTGCAATTGTTATCTAACCGATGTCAGTGCATGATGAAAATCCTGTAACCTATCACAAACTTGTCCCCAGTCTATCTGTTCAAAAATCAGTATTGTACTTTTTTAGTACAATACTGATATTTGATATTGCTTAAATAGTCAAATAGATTGCTCCATTGACAGAAATTACTCATGTTTACTTCTTTCTCAACATCGCCTTTTTCCTTCTTTTCAGACGCAATAAATCATCACATCCTGAAGAAATGGAAAATAATCGGCAAAAGCCTCAAGATGGTTGTTATTCCCCATTATCATTTACACTAAGTGATAATCGACGCCGCGTATTGAATCGATCAGATTCTATGTCATCAGGAATCGGTTCTCGTTCAACGCATCATCGTACTGAACAACGTTCATCATTTCGTATTCCTCAACTGTTGAATGATAATGATGAAGATAGTTCACAATTACCATTACCATTCTCTTCATCAGCATCTTCACCAGTAACTAATTATCCATCGTCAAGAAATTTATCTGTACCATCGAATAGAAATTTTATGCGTGAAGGATTTGGACGTCGTAGTGTTTCAGAGAAACGTCATGGACATGTAGATGCATCACAGTATTCATTTTTTCAAACAAATATACTTCCAAATCGTTATAAAATGCCTGAAGGTAATTCATTTCTGTAGTTGTTTTTTTCTTTTTAAAAATTTAATTCATGAATAATCCCCATCCAGACATTAATGGAAACATATCGGTTCCTTAGTACGGACTCTTTGACGTCGTTTGAAAATTAACGTTGATGATGGACAGCAGTGGAATCCAGGATGTTTACTTTGTCCTATTTGAAACTCATCGCATCGATTTTCCTTATTCCCTAGTGAGTGAGTGATGAATAACGTTCCCTCTGGAACTGAAACCCGATACCCATCATTTTAAAGCCAACATAGAGTGAGTGTTTTGTGCGGGCACATCATAGTCGATTAACCGGAAGTATCCTAATTAACTTAAACAGTTGATTTCACTTTACACGAGAAGTGACTCTTGTGGCTTGAAACAATGAATGCTGGGCTCGAGTCCCAGTGGGAAAATCATTTATCATTTCAGTGAGGATTGCAGGTACACATCCAACTGACGAATCTCAACGTAGGAGGCTTTAGGGTCCTTCAGATTGGAATCAGTGTTTTTCAATGTATGCGGATTAATTCGCTTAAAACTCTGAAACTTTCATAAATAATGATTAACTGTAGTGAATTTCATTCTCTCCAATATGAATGGTTTCCTTCCCACCTGCTTGTATTTTCCAGATGTCGATAAACAATACTCCACTATGCCTACAACACGTCGGCTGAAAATGCACAAGGCTCGTTTAGCTGCTGCTGCAGCAGCTGCGGCTAATTCACATACACCTACTTCTACTACTACTACTACTACCTTTGCTGGTGGAAATGGCAATCAATTGACAGGAACTATAGGATCTGGTACAGGTCCATTGAAAGCGTTACATTCACTAAGTGCAATACCGCCTCAATCTCCAGTGTATACATCCTATCAAGGTATGAGTGTTTCCATGTTATTCAAATTGATTTTTTTTCCTGCCTGTTATGGTGGAATGTCCTGTGTATTCTGTTTTAACACTTCTCTCTATGTCTGTAGTTATGATATGCTGCGGTAGCGTTTTCTTTTTAACCTATCATTTCTAGATTTGTTCATATCGTCAGGGAAATACAATACCAGGATGAATGAAATCTCATTTTTAATATAAGCGCCTATTTTTTGACACACTAAACTTCACCTCATCTACTGTTTTTTTTGTCTTTACGTATGTGCGTATATGTGTGTTTGTCTGTGTGAAATCTTAATATAGAGTCATCTAGGCTGTTCATTCTACCCTAATTTTGTGTAATTGGGCAATTTCATGCATTTATATTAAATTCTCTTTGATAACTTAATAAACCAAACCAAACCAATTTGTGTTGAGATTGTGTTATGTGTGGGTTGACTTAAATAATTATTTGTGTGATCCAGTCTCAATGAGTCCAATCCACCCATCATAAGATTCATGTCATTATTATGTCTATTAATCGATAACATGGAATGACTCTTGACGTCCAGTAGTTTAATACGTTGTGTTAGATGATAGGAAGCAATCGAGAGGAGGAAGCCTGGTCTGACCTAGGTTTCGTGCCTGTTGGCACTCACCAGTCAGTAAAGCATATCTGCAATCATAAAGAAACTCATATCCCTTTTGAGATTCGAATCTGAGTCACTCAGTGCCAGAGTTATTGACTGGCGATTTATCGGATACTTTGATTGGACTTGACAATGGGAGTAGTAACTAATATGTCATGTGTCGCACGAATTGCTTCAAGGTTGTAGATATACACCTTACTGACACGAATATATCACCGGCAAGCATGATATCTAGGTCTTCTCAGTGCGTCCTGTTGACTGCTTCCAACTATCTAACACACGGTGATGGCGAGCCACCTAGCATGGTGACAACATTACAGACTTCATTGATAGAGTTTAGTGAACACTAGCACGAAGGACCAGAAGTATGACATTAGTTATAGTACCTAGTGTCCAGTCAATTTATTATTATTTTATTTGCGCTCCCTTTTGAACATAGGGCTTCGAGCTTCAACCTTGAAGTTTCAGTAGCAATGTTATTTTTTTAAGAGGTGGAGGTGCCAGTCTCACGCCTAACCCTCCCTCTTTGTCGGGCTTATAACCAGATAAGGGAGGCTAAGGTGTGTACCGGCTGGGGATCGAACCCCAGACCACGTCCACGGTTGTCAAACATTCGACTGCTGGACTTCCAATCAAATATATATATTATATACTACTAAACAATCTACAGTTATTATTCGTTTAAGTTAATCTCTTGTATTTACCGCTGATAGATTAGATTGAACCATCATTTTGGGTCTCCTCGTCGACACATTGGCCCCCAGTATGAACGCTTCGGTGCTATTTGACTATTGACATGTTGTATATCTGGAGGATAGTGGCTAGCGGCGGAAACGATAGGAATCGGGTTTGAGTCTCAGTGGGAACATCTTCATTCTCGTGGGGAATTGGAGTTACATCCAGATGATGAGTCCCAAACAGGACGAAATGTGCCTATTGTGTCTAAGTGCTAGTCACTATTCATCAAATAAAATTGACAAATGTCTTTAGGTCTGCGTTTGTAAAAAATGTTATCTACACAAGTTCATTGTTGGTTATTAATTCTTTAGTAATCTTTTGACTTCAAATGATTCTACTTTTATGAATTTGCTCAGTATCTGTCTCTTAATGATAACAGCCACAAGAATGGCTCAAGTGTCTGTTAGTTGTGTTAGTGAGATCGGTTTATTTTACCTGACTGCATTGAAGGATGAGGAAATTGATGTTTATCGTATTGATGAAATGCATGTTTTCAATAATTTAAATTTTCAATAGTTGGTTTATTGTAAGGACTAGATTTGCTACTACGAGTTGATCATGGATTGATATCAGTTAGAGAACCATTGAAAACCAGCCACAGGGAGTACTGGACAGCTGTTTCATCCTAATTTGGGAATTATCGGCAGTAGAAGTTAGAATTCATGGGCCATTGAATCGCGTCCCAGTGGCTGAATGGTATACGAGCTTGCCTTGTAATCGGAAGGTCTTGGGTTCGAACCCCGGTGGTGGGTGCGTACTGCCGATGATTCCTAAACTAGGCTAAGGAACTAGCTGTCCAGTACTCCCTGGCTGGTTTTCAATGGTTCTCTAACTGATATCAATCCGTGATCAACTCGTAAAAAATAATTTAAATATTCTTAATTGAATCAACAAAATTGAAGGTGTCCTGGAGGTTGTGAGAAACAATTTTTCTACTTGTTCAGAAACATACTTGTTCAATTATTCTGATGTCTTACTATCACTAATTGAGGAGCAAATCTTGTCACTTGAACCTACGTTTCTAATGATGGAACGTCTAATGTCTCTAAGGCGGCCTGCTTAAATTACTACTGGGCTACGGAATTACTTTCCACGAAAATGCTTAATTTCATCTGGATTTATCGTTGTTTTAATCGTCCAGTTATATCAAATGACTCAGACATGAATTTGCGCGCTGATTAAAATTGCTTCCAAGTAAACGCTGTGCAATTCTTCAACAAAATGAAGAAATACTTCAGATTATTACTTTGTAAATCCTGTGTGAAGAAAAAAGTATTTTGGAGCTAAATACGCTGAAAATTTTTGCACGATATGTTCGCATATTGTCTGAAATAAGGCTTTATTATAAAAAAAGTAAACAAGTTGAACACCAAAGTCGAATTCAAGGATTTAATTAGTTCAACGAATGATTTGGTCCCAATCTAATGTGACAATGCAGACTATTTCAAATCAACCATTTTACATCGCTGCCTCGATTTCAATAACAAAAAAGCTGGCTTTCATAATATGCTACCCAAAGCAACTGAAAGAATTGAAAGAAAATGAAAATATGATTCGGAGACGATCAGATAAAGGTTCTGGAATTCCCTTCTGCTGAATAAATCAGACTATCTAAGTGTAAACTCTCACTGATACTGTCGGATGACAAGAAATCCTGAAAACAGTCGCTTCAAAAAGATCCTACTGAACAGATGGAGCTTCAACTGACCAAAATATTGATAAAAATGAAAGATGAACCTATTATTAGTACGGAGCTATACGAATACCTTCGTTCATCTGGTTCTACAACGCTTATCTAAGGTACACAAACAGGATGTCCCACTCCGCCCAATATTGGTATATGATAAATTCTGCATATCACTTAATCGCGAAGTGGTTGGTAGAGATTCTTGGGCTGGTGAATGAAAAGCTGTCGAGATACAACCTTCAGGACACCTTCGATTTTGTTGATTCAATTTAAATATTCCCCTTAGAATAATTTTAGAACACAAGTTAAGCAAGCAAATATGTATTTTAGGTAAATTCTCATCAGGCTTTATACAATTACATAATAAAATTTAGATCAGATGCATTTGAAACGAATGTGGTTCATAGAATTAAAGACCAGGCGTAATTATCCAGGTGACCGTAATAGTAATAATAAAGATTAATCTTTGCAAGTGTGTAAGTGGTTTAGGTAGTCAATCTCTGTGAATGGGTACACTTGTAGAGGCAGGGGTGGGGAAATCACCATTTCCTCATAGCGATTAGATAATATAACGTTTGGTTTTTATAATAAATTGTGACACTAGGATTAAACTAGGATACTGATAATACAGTTATCCGGTGTCACCAGGAGAGATAACTATTTTAGGTTGGGTGGGGGAGGGTGAAGGTCATAAGAGGCAGAGGGATTGAACAAACTTGTTCTGAACACAAAGATTGAGTTGAAAAAAAATCTTTTTTATGGTGACTGTCTCAGCTATGCTTAGCAATCGAAGGCGCCTACAAACTTAGGAAAGTGAGGTGACACCGTGTATAGAATTGTAAGGTAGCGGAATTTCGCATATTCACCACTGGGTGTACTAATATGGAACTGTTGATTTGACTTTACAGCTCCTTTATCTAACCACGTTGGATATTTTAATCTTAGTTTCACAATTTATCATTATTATTATTCTACTTACATTCTTTTTGATTATACTTGATTCTATCAATTCACATTGTTTCAAATGTCCATAACTGGTATTTTATTATGTAATTTGAATAAAGCAAGAACAACAGACGTTTTTACAGAATAAAATGGTACCAGCATTGCTTATTTCGTTGGCTTCTCATCATCTGCTTACAGGCAAAAGTCATTATTAAGTATATCTACAGAAACAATTTTAACATACTTGCACAGAGTTCATTTTTAAACAAAAATCAATCAATATATGCATACAATCATAATATATAATAATAAACACTTTTTCCCGATCAATAGTGATCATACACAATGGAAACTTTCGACATTATGTGATCAGATGAAAAAGAGGGTGAAATGACTGATAACCGCTTCTTTCTGAACGCATAAATCGGGTTTCAGGCGCTTGATGGTAATCGCTTCGGCAAACTTGAGGAGAATTGAACTCTTTTGCCTATTGATAATGTCGAAGGATCTTGCGACGTCCACTTCATGACCCGTGTCAAGGAGATGTCTGGTGATGGCAATGTTTAAAACATTTGTTCCCTTTAGACATAAGCTTTTTGGTACATGTTCAGAAAGTCGTAGGTATGCCTTTCTTTCTGTTCTTCCGATGTAACTGGTCCCGCAGATGCATGTTAATTTGTATGCACAGTTGGAGTTAACATGAGAAGTATATTTATCGATTTTTGATCGCACCAAAGAAGGGCAAGTTGTTCGATAGACGGGAACGAGCTTAGCTGCAGGATAGGCTCTGTCTAGTGACCTGCTCAATCTTCTGTTGACAATTGCTGTAATATTTTCATTTTTATAATCAAGTTGAATGTAGTTGGGTTTTTTCTCCCCTGTGATTTGCTTGACATTTAAGCCTTCAGATCTTCCGCACTTGTTAATGAACCTTTGAAGGTAACCGTTGCTTTTCAACATCTTTCCGAGAAACATAAATTCTTCCTCTAATTT